CCACTTGACCTGAAACTGTTGGTACGTAGCATATCATGTTCCAATATAATCATAATGTGATTCATGTGACGTAATTGCAATGAATTCAAGTAACATCAAGCCGTTTTTCAGTGAATCATTTTTTTTATTTTGACTCTTAAAATTTATTGTCTGCATACTGAGTCAAGAGCGTGTGGTACTCCCTTTCTTACTCTTTCGCTAACTTAACGTTGCCCGTTATCTCATATGCGCAAACGTATATGTAGTGATTATTAATTTGATCACTTTAGTATATTGTGTATAGTTCATTTTTTGTCATCATGAAAAAAAGAGGCAAAGAGATTGATTGAAAGATAAGTAGATACTAGACAGATAACGAAAGGTATGATTGATAATACAAAATCTATATCTGATATCTCACTTCATATATAATTATTGTAATCAATCAAATCCACTATTTCAATCAATTGTTGTTGAATGGTGTAATATTTTGGTTGTTGCTTCTGTCTTTACCGTTAAAGTATTCCAAATCCACATTAAGTTTAATGGGAAACATACAGGGGGAGGAAAAAATTTTAAGCCTAGGATATAAAGAGAAGTGTTTTCAAATCATTCTTGTGCTGTAATTGAAGTATGAACTGTCAACAGTATTCCCACAAAAAAATGAGTTCATATCTCTCTTCATTTGTTAAGTTCTACATTTGACATTTAGTCATTTTGATATTTTTTTAAAAACTGAAAAATTCCAAAATCATGTTGAGATTAGGTATCTCACAAAAGATTGTATAGCATCAAACAATTTCAATCACTCCTTGCGTGTAATTTATGGTCACCCCCCTCCATCGTATACCATAGTCAAAGAATAAGAAAAATCTTCATAGTTGTGCAGAGACTTGATGAATGTTGACTCTCACACTTTTGTGACAATAGTGAAAACAGTTCTAGATCTTATGGCCAAAATCCAATTGTCCTTTATGAAATATTCCAAATGCCCAATAGTACGTTAGCTGCGATCCTCAGCATCACAGCAGATAGTGTCTTCAATATATCACACGAAAAATGTTACTTAGAGAACGTTTGTTCGCGATCATTCGAAAAGCCTTTGATTTTTTTTGTTGACAGATGATCACATTTCTCTTTGTGATTGATTACTCAAGTTTCTGGAATGTAGCGAATAAATCAATAGTAGTTGGTAATGAAGCCCGGTTCTAGTACTACAAATCAAAGACCAAAGCGAAGAGAATGTATTATTATACAGTGGTGGCAAGGCATCAGTAGAAAGTCGCCTCCAAACAGATGATTTCCAACATATGACTTCCATTTCTGGGATACAAATGATATATTAATGATTGGCTTGTCACCAAAAAATACTATGGTCTTGGGTCTGTACCACGCTCAATAGATGTATGGATTGCGTTATGTAGTAGAAGTAAAATATTGTTTTCTTCTGGCGAGAAAATTTGTCTTCGCATGACAGCTCGCAAGTGAATATTTGGAGAAGCACTGTCACAACCTGAATCTTGATTCAAATTCACCATCTATTGCATTTGTTGGGGCCGGCCTCTAGCTAGTATTTCCACTTTTCAAATATGAAAAATGTCTCAATAGGAAAATGCGGTACTCGATTTTATAAAAAATTTCAAGGATTTCGAGGTGATGACCAATTGACTAACGTAGAAAACTCTCAATAAGAGATATCAACCTAATTTTTTATGGGAATACTGTTGACAGTTCATACTTCAATTACAGCACAAGAATGATTTGAAAATACTTCTCTTTATATCCTAGGCTTAAAAATTTTTCCTCCCCCTGTATGAGATTTCTTCTTTGCATTGATAAAATGATAACTTGCATTGATTGTTGATTGACAAAATTGATTTTTCGAGACACCGAAAGAAAAAAAGGAGCCTAGCACCCAAATGTATAGTTTTATATCACAATATTAGTCATGATTTCCGGTGTTCTAGAGTGGAGTAATTGAACTCTTAACGCGACTCACAAACTAATTCATGGCCAATTTTTTTTAAATGCACCGATAAAATATACTATTCGGTTTGAATAAAATGTATGCGTTATTCGCACTTTAATCGCTATACACATGTGATAAGGTTCAATTGGTGGAAACTCAGAATTTACAATAGAATTTTTGCAAAGTTAAAGAAAAAATGAGTGCCCATTTAGTATCGATGTTTTGTTGACGTGGCTTGGTCAGAAATATATATCAAATTATTGAATATAAATGACGAGGATTTATTTATTCAGAACGGGCTAATTTTTATTTTCTCCAATTTTCATTGCTCGTTTCGGATGTACAATGATTTCATTTTCAATAGCCTATAAAGGAAACAAAATGCAATAAATCAATGGAGATTTATACAATTAAAATAAATTAAAACACTCTTAAGTACTCCTGGTTATGTTTTTTTTTCGAAAGGGTATCTAAGAAGCTACAAACTGAGCGATCATCAAGCTACATCAAGCAATATTATTGATTTTAACACAGACTAAATTTATAAACATCATTAGCAGTCGGCAGCAATAGCGAATTATCAATTATGTTTTTTTTTTTTTAATTTGCCAACAAAAATGAGCCACACAATGTTGTGATGATGTTATTTCCGAAAAACTTAAAACGAATTCGAGATAAGTTGGATGTCAAAGTATGAAACTATTTAATTGAAGCGAATAGCAAACCTTAAAAATTGTTGGAAATACAATAACATATTCGATGCATTATTGAAGCGAATCTCAGCGGACTATCGTTCACTCAAACTCAATACCATTAGAAATGGAAACTAAGAAAAATATAAGCAATATCCAATACTCGGAATGAAAGAACAATGCGTTGATCAAAGGGCTTCAATCACTTAGACTGACTTTTGTTGATGGCGTGGTGTGTTGTTGCCATTATAACTCGTGGCTGTGCTATCAAAGAACATATTTCAATATTGAAATTCCTCTGGAGCTTTTTGAGAGCATTCACTTGACTCTTTGTGTCAGTTAAAGCGAACACTCACAAAAAACAAGCCTTTTTAACACTGCCGCTCTTTGAGTGGTTGCCAATGCACTTTCGTAAGAAGATGCTTAATTTATTACTGGGAAAAGATTTTTTTTTCATTCTATTCATGTGCTTCGCTTGCACAATGATTGCAGAAATGGGACGCTCGCACATACACATATATTCGTTCTTGCGATACTGCTTTAAGTACAGACCGAGTTGCCTGTTTTCTATTTACACCGATAATGAAATGAATATGAAGCACGTACGTAAACGGCACACGATCAATCGATAAGCGAAATCGAACCAAAAACCCATTTTCATCTCTTCTCTCTCTCTCTCTCTCTCTCTCTCTCCCCCTCTCTGTTTACTCCATCTGAAATAATTCCAGAGCAAAACCACTTATCGGCAAAGAGTTATTCAATTTTTGACTGTTGCAACAATCTCATGCCATTTATATATATATGAATATCGTTTCTTGTTCGCATTTTTTCTCGTGGTTTTTTTTTTGTTCAAGAATATTTTGAACATCGTGTTTTGAACTTTATGCATTCAATACATAATACATATATGCATTCAATGTGGATTTCATTTGGCTTTGCTTATCGTCGTCACACATGCGAAATTAGAGTTTTGCATACAAATTAGTTTCGAATAGAAATTACTTCGTGGAACAGAAATAATATTGCTGTTATGGTTTATATTTTCGACAAATAGTTTTGTATATTTAAGTATAAAATAATACAACATTCAATATCCCATTTCAAATTTAACGCTAATGTCATTTCTTCAATCAATAAATTGAATACTAAATCGAAAAGCGAAAACACAACAAGAAATAATGGCAGCAGCAAAAGAAAATGCTATGTGCATTTAATTTGGCACGTTCACTGACTGAGTGAATTTTTCTCATTTTTTTCTGCTTTCTAATAAGCAACCGAAGAAAAAAGGGAGAAAAAACTTTCAAAGATTTGATTGAAGTTCGAACTGTGCATTTTATTGTCATTCTTTTGGGAATCGACATGCTTTCTATAGTTTTCTCCTTTCTCTTCTCTATCTCTCTGTGTATGTGGGTGTGATTGTGGTTGAATTCATGTATTCAAACTCAATGTGATGACGATTAACGGTCACGAAAATCAGACAAAAAGTGGAACGAACGAAGAAAGATTCAGCAGCAATCAGAGTAAACGAAAGACGGTCTTTTATCCGGTACGACCTACTCAGACCATTTGCAATGGCTCTAAATGATTTTTATGACGCAATTGCAGAGAAAATTCAATTTTTTGATCATTTTTAATTCAGGCGGTAGTAAAATTATTTCAAAATATGGTGCGCTTTTGGAAACGAGTGCTTATGTTCGTGTACTTTTTTGTTGTTGTTGTTGATGTTGTCTTTTTCTTCCTTTTCTTTTTCTTTCATTTTTATCGCTGTAGCATTTTCCCTTCCCCGAATTAAATTCGCTTTCTTTGTGAATTGAAGCTTTTATTTTCGTCTTTCATTCGCTACTTTTCATCAAATCTCATTCATATGAAATTGAATTGCAAGCGCAATAAACGATGAACAGTGAACAATATAAAACTCCACAAGCACTCATTTAATTATTAACTAAAATCCATTTTCACGTACCGACACACACACACATATATACACAGAAAACAATATTCGTGCACAATATGTATAGTTCGCCTTAATAAGGCGGCCTGTAATATAAAGTCATCGATATCGAAAATATTGGTGTAAGAATCAGTGAATATATGAAAAGTGAGTAACTCCCCTAGTGGCACGCTAAGCAGTCGATGTGTGCACAACGAAGATATGGTTTAAAGCACAGATACGTAAAATTGCGTCATGGGCAAAAACGGGCAAAAATCATAATGTAAATTATAATCTAGAAACCTGATTGATAAGAATCCTTATCTGAAGACCCCATGCTCCGCTAGGAGTCCAAGGAAAAAAAACTCCCCTAGTGCGCAATAAAATTCATTGTCAATTTACAGTTAACATTTCTTTTTCTTGGTTACAGACGAATTCAATAAACACCGGTCACAATATGCAAACTACAATAACAACAACAGCGACAACAAAAGATTTACTTAAAACAAATGATGACGACACATCTCATAATGGTTGGAAAAATCCAATCGAATTTTTATTCGCCTGTATGAGTTATGCAATCGGTTTGGGCAACGTTTGGCGCTTTCCCTATCTTGTTTATCAGAACGGTGGAGGTGAGTCTATTCAATCTATATCATCGACAACAATAAAACAAAAGAAAAACATTTTGATTTAAATATGGTGAAGTAAAACGTGTTGAGATGCAAAAAAAACGAAGAATGAATTGCGGTCGCAACAAAGACAAGAAACGAGCATCGGGTATTTGACACCGTTTGTAGACTGTATAAGTGTGAGTGTGTGTTTATGTAACGGCCGCATGCAAAATGTATCAGTTCGATTATCTCGAAATTATAGTCAAACGTAAAATTTGAGATCGAAGGCCATTGAAGAAAAAAGGAAAAGAAACTTCGAGTGAAGGAAATTTAAATATTTATTGTGATTGCAGTGTTGAGCTGCTATATCTCGAGTTCTTATTTCTTTTTTACTTTCTCACACATTTGTTGTTGTTGTTGTTGTTTTTGAGCTATCACAGCAATTGTAAATATCACATGAACCAGTAAAAGTGTGCTGGTGTGTTTATGACGAAGCATTTGAAACTCTCTTTCTCGTTTCCTTCTACAACGTCATAAAATTTCATTCATACCGAGTTTATTTGTTGTATTTGATATGAAACAAAGGGATGGCCGCCCGCTTTTATATTCATGTTCCATTTACAGCTTGTAGTTGGCTTCTCTCGCGCGCAATTTACTTCAGATTCATTTTTTACAACCGTAAATGAAACTGATACGACACAAACACACAACCATCTCCATTTCCTTCAGCTCCTCCTGCTTTTTTATGCTATAATTTAAAGATGTAGCACTTTAAAAAAAAAAATAATTTAATTTTTACGATTGGTCTCGCCTTACCCATTAAATCCACTTTTTCATTCTTGATTCGTGTGTTTGTCTTGCGAATGTTAAAGTCATTTCATTGTAAAGCTTGGCCAGCGTGTCAGACAAATACCGTGTCATATGTATGGGAATGGAAAGAAAAACGCATTGAAAATATGAACCAAATCGAGAGAATGAAAATTAAAAATAAAGAAAAGGGAACAAACAAGTGATGAAGATCTATAAGATGACTTTTCGTATTTTCATTGCAAAAAGAATGATTTCTCACTTAACTCTCAGCGGTGGACTGTCTTTAATCACTATGCTGACATTATGCAGGTGTATACAACTCAACTATCAACATCGTGTTATATATACATTTGCATACAATAATGCGATCATCGCGTATTTGCTAAAAGCATTTTTGTGACCATTTGCCGCGCTTGTTCGTCGAGTACATACATTGTATGTACATGAATGAACAACAAGAAGAAAAGTGAAATGAAAGCGCCTTCTCTAAAGCCCCATAATCAAAGGTCATAATTTTATGAAGTGCTTAAAACAGTAAGAGATAAGACACAATGATACATGCACCCAATGTTTGTTCGCATTAAATGCTATGGCGCACATTGGCTCTTTCGTATCTTAACTCTTGTCATCGTTGTGTTTGGTGTTAAATGAAATACTTCTTCCCGTCTCAATGTTAGATGGCTAATGGAATATAACCTGATAGCGCAAGCCAATTCACACACACACACACACCAACATCCAAATAAAAATCAACAAACGACACTGAATCTCATAATTTTTCATTTGATAATATCTGCATTGATGATGTTTTATATGCGCTTTTCTTCCCTTTTTACCTTTATTTTTGCTTGCTGCCCCTCTGTGACGGATGGCACCATGTAGGAGCATTTTTATTGCCATATATTTTGATGGTATTTGTAATTGGAATGCCGATATTTTTCTCGGAATTATTCGTGGGTCAGTACAGTGGATTAGGACCAAATCAAGCATATGAATATTTAGCACCGTTATTCCATGGTAAGTACAAGGGTATGAACTGTAGTTAATAGTGAAATAAAGTATGATTCCAACAAAGATTAATAAATGTCATAGCTTTAGAAATACACGTTGGATGTTGTATATTATAGCGAAGTGAAGATAAATTACGAAAAACTTTGCACCTTGAGCGGCAGGTTAATCCTCGCAACGAATATTATACGACCATTGTGTAAAATCAAATATTCTAAATCCATGCCGTCGTGTTTACGTCAGTAATTTCATTCACTAGTCTGTTTCGCGGAAAATCTTCAAATATCGTGAAAAAAAATCCATCGAGATCACCATACGGCGAGCACAAAATAGCTCATGTACATTTTTATATACAATATTCATTTTCATATCTTAAGGAACCTCTCAGTTGTAGAATTGAAAATTTTTTATTCTGGGGGACCACCACCAAACTAGTTTTTCAACTTTCTTCTGGTTATTTCTAGTTTTTCTAGTGTGTACTAGATTTTCTAGTTCATGTAGACTTTACGTCCAAGTCATTATACTTTAAACCTTGACGTATACGTAACGATTTGAGAATTTTTTTTTAAATTCACAGAATTTGCTTTTTTGAAATATTAACAAAAATTCATAGTAAATTTTACAGATTTTTTTCGTTTATATTGCTGATTTTTTTTAGTTATTTTGATAAGAAAAATCGTGATATTTCCGTTTATTTTACAATAAGATTTTCAAATCGTTACTAGATTTTTCTAGTTTTTCTACTTGTTTTCTAGTTTGGTGGATAACTGCTATAGGGGTTATGAGACGTTATTGCTATAATTTTAATGTTTTCGCGATGGCAACAACAGCATACCACACCGAATAAGAATGAAAATATGAAAACCAATATTTGGACATTATATTATGGAAGGATAAGACACGCAATGACAATAATAATAAATATCAATTTTCTCTTTCTCTTTCTGGGTTCATGTACTTTCAGGTTTGGGATACTGTACATTAATTGTCATTACATTTGTCACCGTTTATTATATGGTTATTATATCATGGATTGTATTCTACTTTGTTGCCTCATTTTCACCGAATCTTGGCTGGGGATATTGTGATCATGAATTTAATACCGACGGTAAGTGACGATTTAAACATTTCGTGTTACATATTTTGTTAACACCCACTCGTATTATCATAATCATTGTCTTTTTGACACTAAACATGGCTATCACCCATAAAGTTTCATTGGCAGAAATAGCATTCAATGAATGTATGGACATACAGACTAATTTGATGTTTAATATTCAGTTTGGTTTGCTTACAACTGGTTATTTCATCTGAAAAACGAGAACGAATTTATTTTATTGTGATGCGCGAAATAAACAAATTGAAGTGAAAGATTTAAAATCGCAATCTGTTCAATCCATAGTATGAAATTGTTACTCATGAAGAACTCGCTTGCTGGGAGTCAGTCCTAGCTATCTTTGGTTTAGTGTGATTACTGTCGTTTGTATTTATGGAGCCATGTAGGTACTAATACGAACTCGGGAGCGCTTCCAAAGTAGACGTGTTGCTTCGCAAGTGTAATTTCAGGCTCTGGTCTATTCCAATTAGCTAGCTCACAAAGCCATACATATAAAATGATAATTTGTATATTATATATATATGTATGTATATATATTTGTATTAATTTACTTCTTTTCACATGCGGTAAAATATTATTTTACCCGCAACACATTTCTTTGCGGGTAAAACGGCATTTTAACATGTGATAAAATTTCTCCATGTTAAAATCGCATTTTGTCGTCATTTTAACATGCGGCTTTTTTTTCACATGTTAAAATGCCGTTTTACCCTAGGGGGTAGACACGTGGAATAGGATTAGACTTTTTAGTGTAAAAATTCGAGAAATTAAAGTGGAATAGAGAATTCAGTAGCTGGATTCACATGGATTCACTAATCCCGTGTATGGAATAGCGAAAATGGGTTAATACAAAGTTTTTGTAATCGATAGTACAGAATTTGATAAAAGCATTGAACTTGTTTTGAGATAGTAATTTGTTCTTTTTTGAAATATTTTTTAGTTCAAAAGTCGATTACAAATTTACAAAACAATAGATACACTTTCTCAAAATTTTATTGATGAAAAAAATAATTTTACTTATCAATAACAAAATGTCATACTCCAGTATCGATAAATAAGTTTTCAACAAAGTGAATAGCGGCGAAATGTGACATCACATTTGACAATGAAATGACGGATTGGTGGAATAGTAGGATTAGTGTTTTTATATTGGAATCATGGTTTAATCGTTTGTGTCTCCCCCCTAGGTTTTACCCTTAAAGAAATGTGTTGCGGGTAAAATAATATTTTACCATGTGAAAAGAAAACCTCATGTTAAAATGGCATTTTGCTCTGATTACTTTGAATTTTAACATCTGATTTTTCTGAGAGCAGTGAAATAAAATGCATGTCAAAGAGTATATTTTTATCATTTTTATTGTTGGCCGATTATTCGCTGTGAACGCACACGCACAATGTGTTTTTCCGCTTCTATTTGCTCAATGATTTCGTTTAAATTCAATTCTATAAATGACATGGTCAAACTTTTTTCGTCAACAGCCAGTCAACATATCCATTGAACGTTTTTTTCGAAATAAGCAGTAAAATAGGATTAATGAACCAATCTGATTCAATCAAATTTCCGTTTTTAACATTCATTGCATGCTTTGCCATTTGAAAGTGTTCTCATTTACCTTTTAATTCGCACCGCAAGAAATTTAATCGAATTGGCTCAATCAGCTTACATCTAAAATATATGATAATTGATATTGTAGGGTGCTACAGCAGTTTGGAGGATCATAAATGTAATAAAAATGGCACCGAATTTGACCAAATATTCTATCGAAAAAAATGTACCGATATAGCAAAAATTTGTGGTGAGGCACAGGAAACATTGACAGGAATCAACGCATCGTATTGCTTTAATACAAAGAATCTTGAATATGTGCCAATACGAAAGGTGATAAAGCGAGTACTTGCATCTGAAGAGTACTATTAGTAAGTATTGCCTCAAAGTTCAATCATTCGATTTTATTCAATGCATAGGTAAATAAATATTGCGCATACATCTATGTACATTTGCATGCTCGATATTGTTGTTTGACTGGCTCATCATATTTCCCTCAGCTCACATAATCCCCATCGGATTCAATAGTAGAGAGAGAGAGAGAGAGAAAAGGCAACAACGTTTTTTAATCCATTTCAAATGAGTGTGAATGGTTTGGCTAAGTGTTTGTCTGTGTTTGTATTTGCTTTAATCTTGTGCCAAATGATAGAAAACAAAAGAATAGAGTGTAGTAAGAACTTCAATGACAGAAAATCATCGCTGTATTTTAGGTTCCATTAAATTATCTATAGATTCTATAATAATACCGAACTAGTCACATAATAGAAAATGCCACTTGATAAAGTCTTGTTTTGTGAAATTATTTATAGAAACACCGAAAATTACGGCAAAAATTTCATTTCATTCTCTCTGGTGTATTCAGTCGAACTAGGGGGTGGCACACGAATTAAACATTTGGATTTACTAGACTAATTATTACTAGAGATATAACCTAGTACCAGACAATGTATTTAGCCGTCGTCATCTGGATATTACAGCTCATCTGTATATCGTCAGCAGATGATACGAAGTGAAAACAATAGAAGTGATTGTTATAGGTATATAAGCTTGTTATATGCTGGTATTACTATAACAATCACTTCTATTGTTTTCACTTCGCATCATCTGCTGAAGGCATCCAGATGAGCTGAAATATCCAGATGACGGCAGCTAAATATATTGTCTGCCTAGTACCCAAACCATACTCGAAAACATTTTAGGATGAAATCTATCGTCGTCATCCCAGTGGCCGTTATATGTTTAAAAAAAATTTGGTTGTAAATAATTATTTTCTAAGATTTCATCGAAAAATTAATTTAAAATACATTTTAAGTTATATTTTCAATAAGAATTCGTAAACAAAATTACACCACTTCACATCAAAAGTAATATGAAGTTGGATTTACTGTCAATGCAAAACATCTGTGTCATTGTGTCCCCCTGGCAATCAGCACTGTATTCATTTACGAAATTTTCTCTCTCTTTCTCTATTTCGGCATTGTTGTTGTTATTTCAATGTATATGTGTATGTTCATCCTGTTCTCGCTGGCATTCCCTCAGTTTATTAGATTGATTCGATTGTCGATTTCGACTCGGGATTCCCTAACCATACAAATACACTCACAGCGTTGCACACAGTAAAAATACGGAATTTCAATTTGTTTCCTTGCTCCGTTCCGCTCTTGTTCCTAAGTTGAAACGGAATTCAGTTCATCAATGGATTTCGATACACCAACTGCAGCCACACTGCATTTCAATCCAATTGTCAGAATGGATGAAATGAAAACCGAATATTGAACAGAATGTGCATAATGCGGGATTGCGGATATAATAAACTTTTATGTTTATTGTATTCTTTTCAATTCATTTTCGAGATTTTATTTAAAAGCTTCGGCAGCGACAATGACAACTATGTAAAATAAGAAAATGAGAGTTAGGTAAGCATAAGAGATGAAGTGAAACGGAAACAACATAAAACAGCGAGAAGAACAAGAGGAAATTCGCATTCGGAACGGATCAAATGGATTGGATCGTAACACGCAAGTAAGAATAGCAAAGCAAAAAACCGAACGAAATCACGTTTCCAGAATCTCTAATGATGCAAATCAACTGCAATATTTGTTTTACTCAACGATATTCCAACCAGTCGGTTTGATAGCATAACCATTAGGCCAGTTCGAAAAAAAATCTCAAATTTGCAAAAATCAGTTTAAGAAAATATACTGAACGGTTTTTTTTCTTCTTAAAAGTTTGTCAAAATTGCTATAAGTTATGAGAGAAAATTTTACTTTCGCTTCGATAAAACTATTGGTCTCTTGGACATCACTTTTTTGAACTAGCCTAATGGCTATACATTAAGATAGTCAGTTGATGGTCGTTTTATTTGAGCGCATACATATTTGTTAAGCCGAGCGAACAAAATGAATGTGAGCAGAAACGAGATGAGGCTGGCTGGGATGATGACGGAAAGAATGCATCACTCGATGCATTGCAAATATCTTCGATTCGAGTTTGAAAAGTGAATATTTATCAGTTATTATACACATTTACGTTTGAATTAGAAAACTGTGGAATCAATGACGATGTCTACAAACTATTATGCTTTGCATAGATGCCTATTACAAACCAAATGAAAACAATGCATTCGAAATGAGTTGCGAAACGTCTCTTTTATTTTATTTCACTTGCGTACATGTACGGACTGGTGTTTGTAAGGTATATGTATGTAAACACATCTGAATTTTCTTCGTTACTTCAAGTCGTTGCAACGGCCCATTAGTTTAGTTTGCATATCAGATCTGTGCAAGCTCCATTTCTCGTTGTTGCTTTTTTCACCAGACATTGTCTCTCTTTCTCTTTGTGCGTTTATGTGTATTTATGTAAACAACAATGAACAAACGAACTCAAGCTTGAAGAGGTCAAATTCATATGGTGAAATTGTTTTTATCATGGAAATTTTATCACATTTCTCTTGTTTCATTTCATACACGCTATCAACGGTTTTTCTTCTTCCTATTCTGTATTTTATCAGACACTGGGTTTTCTTGCAATTCGTGCATTTAAGAGTAGATCTTTTGTGTTCGGTCTGCATCATTTTGATGCTTTTTCCAACTCTTGCTGGCACACACACAATGCTTTGTAAATGTTATGCAGAAGCGCATCAAATTGCGTTTTCGCATACTAAAATTGGTCATTTTATAAAACAGAAACCATTTTATTGTCCATTTTTCTTTATTATCAAAATGAAAGAATTCATTCTCTGTAGTCTCTTCCAGCGATACATTTTAATGCAATATTTTATGTATAATTTTGATATTCACACACACATCTATACAAATGCATACTCAGCGGAAAAAAATGCTGCCTTGCTACATAGATCCATTTTGAATTCATAGAAATGTTAATGTTTCGAAAAGATTTCCAACCGGAAAATCCAAGAGAAATAAAGAGGCTTACGTATGCAAGCTGACTTTTCCGCATGGAACCGAAATTTTGGGAATAAACAGAAATGATGGTCTATGTATGGTTGAAGTAACTTAAATTACCGAGAAAACTTGTGAATATTATTTTCTTATCAAAATAAATAATCATACTAAGTCTAAAGAAATTTCAATCCAAAAAATAGCCTGTTCAAAGTTTCACATCATTACAGTACCACAAAGGCAAGTCTATCATACAAAAATGATTTTTTTTTTCGATTTTTGTATGAAAAGTCTGTGAAAAATTGATTGCATCTTAAAACTAACATCAGATTCGGGTTTCTCGTGCCAAAAAACCCCCACTACACAGTCTTTCAGCGTTCAAATTGAAAGAATATCATTTTAAGGCATTTTTCTCATAAGTGCCTTTTCACAGTCTAAGTTTTACATCGATCAATCAATGTCGTTAAAAATTTGACCAGATCTATTCCTCGTAACGCCCAATCATCCCGTAAAGTCAGATTTTGAATTTCATGTCTGAGCACGAAACCATCGTGTCACCAAAATGGTTGAAAAATGATCAAAAAAGTAAAATGTATGGATTGTGTCCATTCGGACCCAAAAAAATTACACTGGTCAACAGATATTGCTCAAAAACTAATCAGCACGTCTCCTAGTAGTCCCAAATCATCCTGCAAAGTCAGAATTTGAATTGAGTTTTTGGAAAAAGATTTATCGAGTTAACAAATTTTGGCAACACGCCACAGGACACAGGACACATCACACACAGCGACGCACATTAATATGCCCCAAAATCATCTCCAATCGTGTTTTCTACATTAAATATGCATAGAAAACATGTTTTGGGATGACTTTAATTTTTTGGCCTAATACAATACCTTCCCTACACTAGGTGTGCGGAAAAGTAAAATTATAGGTGTGTCAAATTATATGACTTTATGGCGCAAATTAGTTCAAAAGGATTTTCATTGAATGAAATCAGGCACTGGAAATGTGTTTTATTTATTACAAACATATTTTCTTTTTTGTTAGAAACATCTACCTTCTAAGTTTAGGAGGAAGATCTTCTCCTCCTCATTTGCCTTTAAATTAAGCCGAACAGTCTCCGAATAAAATTCACATATTTATCTGTTTCATAGTTTGACGTAACATGAAAAATGTATTTTAATGCGTTGGTGTATCCTTCTCGTTAATTAAAAAAACAAAATAAAATTGACCATAATTTTTTTAAATGTATATTTTTAATTTGGAATAAAAATTCTTGATGTGTATATCAGCATTTTTATGCTACGAATACATGGAACTTGATTTGTTGACATTTCATATTCACTTGGTTTTGCGAAGCCATATCGTACGATTTGTGAGTGTGTTAGTTTTACAGCAACATTTTTGTAACATATTGTAAGAAAATATAATTTTGAGTTAATATTCGTAAAAAGTTAGGTATTATGCTTGTTTGTTTCGCATTTCGATAAAATAAATAACGCATCTGCACGGAGACGAACAAGGTGCACAACATTTTCAAAAGGTGAAACAAATATATGGACCACCCCGGACAAAATAGTGTATTTGCACTCACATAATGTGAATCAGTTTTTTTTTTTATTGCTGGAGAAATTGGTGAAGTGTGTGCAGATGGAATTTGTATAATATATACACGCGTGATATAAAAAAAATCGTACACACAAAGTGCATAATGAACCTGATGCCAAATGGTAGTACATACACTATACCATTTAACGAGAACCATTCACCATATGTCTTTAGGCTGATTTATTATATTTAATATAGCTCCATATCCAACTCTTCTCTTTTCTTCGTTCATGGTTCACAATTTTAGGTTGCTCGTGTGCGTTCAAAAATGCCAACAAGCATAAAAACCGAATGAACCAATTGAACCGAGGTACAAGAAAAAAAATGAGAATATTCAAAGCAAAATATTACTGAAACGTGGCCTGTTTTATGATAAGGATTAGAAAGATAGAAAATGGAAAATAACATTATGAAGAAGAATACAAGGATCGGTAAACGTTAGAAACTCTTTCGCTTATTTTCATATTAAAATTTTATCCGTACAAAAAATACAATAAAAACATTTCTTCGATGTATGCGCACGATGAGGGATGGTTAAATTTAAAGACATAGATCTAAGGTTTACATGAATTCATATGAAGATGGCAGTTTCAAGACGAAAATGTTGTTCGCGGTAAAGTTGTTGAAATGGTAAAAGAAGAAAAGTCTCTCTCTGTGTGTATGTTTGTGTATGGTTGGGCGGTAGTATCGAGAATGCGAGCAGTGTACATGAAATATGATACAAAAGAAAAGTATCGAATGAAAAAGTCACGTGTTTTCACCTATTCATGTACGCAAGAATCCATATACACATTTATGCTTTATGCCATCGGCTAATGTTATGTTGACAGCTTAACCTAACACAATTCGTGAAACAAAACAAAATAGATCAATGTAGCAACTTAGCCTTTGACTCATTTTGTTTTGAATTTCACGGAGTTTTCTCTCTCGTTTTTTCTTATTGAATTGTTCAATGTTTTCTTTCAACATGTGATTTCATTCGTTCCACCGAAATGTAGCGAAAATGTATTGGGCATCGGTGATGCAAAATGGGATTCTTTTGGTTATCCACGATGGCAGCTAGTATTATGTTTGGCATTTGGTTGGATCGTTGCATTTTTATGTCTATCGAAAGGCATTAAAAGTGCGGGTAAAACAGTGTTTTTCATGGTATTATTTCCATATGTCATTTTAACCGCATTAATGGTGAGTCGCACGTAACATATTTACAATTCAATCACAATAATAATATTGATTGATTGCCGAGTACTATTTTCATTTTTTTTATTATTTTTATTTTTTTGTTAGATTCGTAGTATCACACTAGAAGGCTCATGGGATGGTATATTGTATTACATTCAACCTGACTGGGGAAAAATTTTGGATGGTAGTGTATGGGGTGATGCTGCATCTCAAGTATTCTATTCATTTGGTCTCGGTTGTAATTCATTGATCACCTTCGCTTCATATAGTAATGTAGGAATGCCAGTGTTATAAACCAAAAACAAATTCAAATCGATGTGAATCGCTGTAATCGAAATCATTCTTATCTTCTCTCTTTTTCTTTCAGTTTAAGAATAACCTTCATACAGACACCATTGTTGTATCGTTTATGAATGTATTTACGGCTGTATTCTGTGGATTTGCCGTTTTTGCTATGCTTGGTTTTATGGCCAACAATCTTGATGTTAGCGTTGCTGATGTTGTACAAAATGGACCAGGTTTAGCATTTATTGGTAATGATGATTCGCATATACAATCTATACTATGTATTCTTTGTTTAGTTTTCCTTTATTGTCATGAGATGAATTGAATATGCACCGAAAAAAAAAAAACAATATTTTCTTATTGTTGTTGATGTTTTTTTTTCTTCTATTTTATGTGTGCAGCATATCCGGAAGCAGTGCTTTTGATGCCATTGCAACATTTATGGGCCATTTTATTCTTTTTCATGATGTTCGTGCTTGGAATGGGTTCACAATTTGGCGGCATTGAAGCATTATGCTTGGCAATCGTCGAAAAATGGCCACATCTGGCTGATCATTATTGGAGAGTTACAGCTGGTGTTTGTATTGCATGCTTTTTAGCTGGCATTCCAATGACTTGTAATGGTGGTATCTATCTATTCAAATTATTAGAATGGCATACAGCTTCATGGGCAATTCTATTGCTTGGCATTGCAGAGGTAGAGTTAAATAAAATCCATTTTATTCCATTTATCAAAGTGAAATAAAATAAAAGCCAATTTTATTGTAATATCTCTCGGTGAAAATCATATCGATTGCAATGAATGTGTATTGTTTACCAATGGTCAGTTTGAATGACGTCATAAAAACATATTGTACCGATCTTGTAATAACAATTGTTAATTGACAAAACTTGCATCTCACACACTGTATTTTGCAATGGATGGTATTTTCGGTCACACATAATCTATGTGACACAGAGAGATATGAATTGAATATAAATACCATGGTCTTATATATCTATATTACATTTAAAATATTTTCTCTTTCCATCTATCTTTCTTTATTTTACCTTACCATTGGGTTTATGTACAGATTGTTGTTCTCTCTTGGGTGTATGGAATTGATCGTACATTTGATAACTTATCTCATATGAATATTAGATTAAGCGGCTGGGTTAGAGCTTACTGGTGGTCAATGCTGATGTTTGTAACACCGATTGCTTCATTCGTAAGTATATACAAATATATCTCGACGAAATTCACAAATGATTAAATTCAACATTAGACCGAACATAGCAAACTTTGTTTCATATTTACATGAATGTTAAATGCTAGAAATTTTCAATTTTGGTTGTGATAAGTGGGTTTGTAAAGTCAGTAGAAGAAAAAAACTTATACTGTCAAACAGACGAGTTTATTTATATATTTGAAATGTTTGTCATTCAACTGTTCAACAGAAAACATAGAATAACATTCGTTTGAAATGTGTTAATTTTAAATTTTGCCAAAAGCAGTGCTGAATATGAAGCTATTACGAAATTTTACCATAATCAGGAATAATATGGCATACATTTTTGAAATACAATACTAAACATTATAGTAATTAAAATGTACTTTTAATGAAGTAAATCGATAATTTTTCATATTTGTATATTTTTGCAGATAGTGTTCATTTTCACCGTGTTAACTATGGGCCAAACCGAATTTAATGGATACATGTTCCCCCAATGGGCTGATGCATTAGGCTGGATGGTTGGATTAAGTACATTACTTCCATTTTTCTCCTTTATTGGATATTATTTACTCAAAGGAAGGGTAAGCATATTCTTTTTTTTTTTAATTCAAATAGAAAATAGATAGTGTTTTCAATGGTTTCTTTCGATTCGTACACCCCGGCATCTTTTCGGGCAATCAAAATCAAAAATGACAAAAACATTAATTGCTGTAAATGTTTAATATGGTAAAAGTTCATTGGGCAGTGAAATGTTATTGAGCTTGTCGAACATTTTAAACAGTAGTCAGTGATAGTGGTTTTGGATGTCCGATCATAAAGCAATGTCGATATTATTCATGTCGCGTCTTCACTATTTATTAACATATTAGAGACAAGGAAGCAACGCTGCATATTTTATGAGGAGGAAAAGCTACTAGTATATGTTTGGAATATTGCGCGAGGGCGTGTTGTTAAATGAAGTTTGAAATTTGATGCCATTCTTTGGCATTGTTGAATTGTGTGTGTGTGTGTATGTTGCGTGTGTGAACCGTAAATGGAATGTATCACGTCAACAAATATGACCCTACGGCTGTTTCCATTACCATTACTCTGAGCATGTGATATATGTATTCGATTTAATTAGATCAACACATTTTGAGTTGCGCTCTACCGATTTTCAGTAAACGCTTCCACATTCATAATGCATGCTACAGAATGCCTGCCACCATATATATATATATATATATATATATATATTTGGTATGTTTGATATGATATTGTATTCGATGTAGACAATACGAACGGTATAATTCATATTTGGAGATTATAATCATAGAAGTTCAGATAGTGTGTGTGTGTGTAGAAAACCTTCTATGCTACCAAATCATTAGAGAAGTCGTTGAGTATATATAAATATGTGTGCAGAGAGTTGTTATTTAATCAAAAACTAAACTAATTTCTTCTGAAGAATACAAACATCCAGATTCTTTGGATATTGTCCATGGCCTGAACACAATGGCGTTTGCATACAAATGAAATGAATATTTCAAATGAATGGCAATCTTATGGTATGCACAAAACAAAGCGGCTTTGAAAGATATTTTCAATATTAGAAGTAACTACAAAAGACATGTGATCAAATGTGATGCCATCTTCTGATTTATCTCGTCTATTCATATGAGCTAAACAGACATCTATAAATGTCATATATCTTTCGTTCACATGAAAGCCGATGATTCCAAAGGTGGACAAATTAAATATTTATTGACTATGTACTGGTTTAATGATATGAAAGCGTGAAAATTCCATTTATCGCTATTAGTTAAACAAAGTTTTAAAATATGGCCGCCACAACCATTTACCATAACTATTAAATACAATTTAAGCATAGAATTATGATGCATGGGAATTGCATCTTAAAATTTGGAATCCTTTGAAGAATATTTATAATATGCGTGTTCACTTAACGTATGTTCTAAATTATTACAAATATTATTATATTCAATAGAAACATTCCTACAAAGGTCCCAATAAACCATTTTATCCATTCTGTAATGCCATTTGTAGCACATTATGTATACAAACTGCATTACAGAATGGATCAAATGGTTTATTGGGGTCTTATGACAGTTAAAGACAAATGTATATGTATACTTTTCATTTTGATTTTGAGCTTTACTTTTGCTTTCATATTCATTTGACTCTGCAGAGTCAATCGGTACACTTTTTCATACGAATTAGTGTGTACATTATGTGCACGGTTTTTTGTGTATCCGATTTGTACCCGATTCCTCATTGGGTGATGATGGCTTCGCAGCTATAAACCGAAGTGCATTTATTAAATGCACTGTCAATCGTGCATATACTATATTCACAACTCTAAACCATTGTAAACAATGTTGTTGTTGTATACAAATGACAGTTTCAATATTTTGTTGCTAAGCGCGTGATCCATTGTCATTGAATTAAGTTATTTTTTTTTTCAATTTTTGCAGTCATTTGGATTTTGAAGAATAAACGACATACTTGAAGAATTCACAATACTTAAATTAACAATAGCTTTTGTAAAAATAGCAAAATTTGCTTGATAAATCAATGTTATAACTAAATGTGAATGAAGTTGTTTGTGTACAATATACTCGATAATTTTCTCAGTGCAGACAGACTACGGACCTGTCTCACATTGTCAACTTCTCCTTATATTTTTAATGGACCATCAAATTTCGCACGTTAAATGTCTGATTTATTGTAGCTAAGACAAAAGACATAAACAATGAATTGGGCAAATTGTATTTAATTGAATGCAAGCTCGGAATTTATTTATGTCAATTGTATGTGCGTAATACAGAACAAGATTAGTTTTAGCTAATGTTTCATACCTGAGCGTGTGTGTCCATCCAATGATTTTAACGATATTTTTTTTTATTTTCATTTTATGTGCAGAGTCTAAGTTCATTGGTCCAAACATCACCACTTTGGAAACCACAAGCAAATGCCGGTCCAATTGAAGATCCACCAGCACAAACCGTGTCAAAATCCAACAACTGGAAATGCTTTTCACCAGTTGCGATAGTTAAGCGTCGTTTAGGCTGTCAATCGAAAGTTTAATAAAATAAAAAGTAATTTTATTTCTGTAATTTTATTCCGTATGAATCTTTTCTCAGTTCAATAGAACAAAAAAAAAACACGAATATTGTGTGTAAACAGAGGTAAGAATTTGCTTTCTTGTTGAACATATAGCTTCTGAAGTTGAAGATTTAATGGGGTTGTGTGGCAAGCGGAAAAAGTCACGAGGTGTAGTCCAATCTAGTGTAAGTTTTAGCTAAAACCCTAACAAATGAAAAGAGGTTACGCAAAATTCATGAGGGTTAACACAGCGCCGGTGGACTTTTGCTTGGACCCCTACTCAGAAACTATGTATATGAATGCTGGAGTTAATATTGATTTGTTAAAAGTTGTTTTCTGTATGGCGGTCTTACAATTTAATGAATTCTCAACAGAAGTCTCACAATCATTCTCGGCAGAAAAAGTGCAACTTAAAACAGTGATAAACATCCATTGTAAATAAAATCGTATAGATTCGATCTTATAATTTAATTCCTTTTGCCAAATAAATTTCCAGAATTATCAAAAAATGTGAACAAAATAAAAATAGAAACATTAGTTAACCGTTTTCAATAAACAGATATACGTTTGATTTACATTGTAGTCAGCGTGTTTCATGTAGATGGTGTTATAAGTATCTGTCCAAATTGCGCTTGCCCCTCGATCTATTTATGAAAAAAATGCTTTTTACTTCACTTGAACGCATCTTTCCGCTATATTGCCAGTGGATATCTCCAAAGCTAGCTCCAAAGTTATTTAAGTTCTCTTTTATTTCACACATTCCATTTTCTATTTCGATCTTGTTATTGTTTTAATTTTCTTTCGATCCAATGAAAGAAGCATACAGCCATCTGCGATAAACAATCGTCTGTTTTCATTTTTGCTAACAGTTATTTATTTCTTCCGTCGATGGCAGTGGCAAGCAGACACAAGAGAAAAACTACATGGAGCGTGCCTTGTAAATATATCAATAACAATAGAAAACATCATTGAGCACCAGCATAGCTGGGCAGACTGAAAAATTCAGGGGGGGATTGGGGGGGTAATTTTCTCAAAAACTCCTAGCAAAATAGGAAAATTTCATCTATGATCCAAAAACCCTAGCAAAATGAGAAAAATTCTATCCAAAATCATGAATTTGTAAAGGGGTAACGCAAAAATTTGTTGATTTTGTAAAGGGGTAACGCTAAAATTTGATGCCTCAGGAGGGGGTAATCCTCCCCCTCCCCCCCTGTCTGCCCAGCTATGAGCACCAGCCACATAATGTCAGCATTATTCCAGCAAAGTGTCGGGAAAGACAATGAACTCAATTCGATATGATATGAGATTTATTCGATTTCCTCTTATTTATCTTAGTGATGTAGTAAAAACTTCATAAAATATATTTAAAGTTTTACATCCAACTCGAATATATCGTTTTTCATAGTGCACGTTCGATTGAACATACTTAATAATAATTGGATATTTACTTGCTGATGTTAAAAAATTGTAAATGCATTACATGTATGATTCAATCATTTCCGCTAAGTACAACCATCATTTAGATGTATTTTATCGAGTTTATTTGAGCAATGGATATTTTCTTTTTTCGTCAAAGTTTTAATTTTTTTTTAATATGGCCAAATATTTTCAATATTTCAAAATTATTAATATTTTCTGTATAGTTTGACAATCAGAAAAGGAAAGGGAGATAAATAGAAGATACCCTGACAGCGAAGCGCGTGTTACTGATGCTGAAATATGTCTCTTGGTTAATGCGCCGCATGCATTGCGTTCTTGATAGCAAATTACTTCTAAAGTGCATGTGACCATGAATATAATGCATTGCACGATGGTTGACTCTCTATATTATTCTCGATGAAATATAGGAAAAAATGCTGGCCACACAATGTATCATACTCATATGATCGAGTGAATCAACACAAATAACAAATAATTACTGATGAGCTTGTGTTTAATTTGATTATTTCAATTTTCATGTAGAAATAGAGAGAATGAAAAAATTCTGCGTTTGGTTTTCGGGTTGAAATAAGTGATAATTAAATCATTGGACCGTGAAGATGATATTATTTTTTTGAATTGATTGTAAACCAATGATTAGATCTTGAATAATGTAATTACCCAGAACTCTGATATGTTCAAATTCAATTAAAGATTAAACAAATTAGTCTTTTCTCCATAGTTTTTATCAACAAAAGAAACTAACAAAAAATATTAAAATTAAATTGTGTTTTCGACGTTTGACAGAAAAACGAATTTTTTTCACCGATATTTTCATTGAAAACTGTATAAGCCATGGACTGTAGGGGTTTTTGATTCCACTGGATGTGTTATTTGACCCCTCGAATCCTGTTTGGAATAGAATTTGAAATGAATTTGCTCGTATCCATTAGGTCTGTTTGATTTAGTCTTCAAATTGGCATTGATTTCCGTTAAGTTGCGCCCGCTTCACTCGCGAGCTAATGACGGGCCCAATTTTGGTTTTGATTTTTAGCCAATCAATCTTCTAAAGGGTACTTCCCAAACCACTATCATAACATATTTTAACACGATTTACCACGGTTATCGAGGTCGGTTATCATGATCTATCATGGCCCAATACGATTTACTACGGCCATCATGGTTCACCATACAACGGCAAAAAATAAGAGCTATTTTTTCGCCACAACACGCCATCCAGCCACAACCAATTGTATATGGATATAGATAACACGAAAAATTGTCACTAGATATGTTTCTGGCAATAAAAAGTACTCGATTATAAAATGTGTGCGCATTTCATAAAATGAATAGTGAAAAAAGATGGATGAAACGTGTGTAACGAATAATTGCTCTAATAATGATCACGACGGAAGTAAATGACACATAACACACATGAAATTGAAATTTAAAACGCTATCCACCCAACAACAACAATCTATATGTTGTTATTCTATTTTGAACGGATAATAATATATGCTTTTGCTTTGAAACCATTTCATTTTATTGATAATAAACATTGCGCTATTTTATGCTTGTCTGAAAACTGAATGAACCGCATTGCCAGCGAATGTTCCATTATGTGACATACGCAAGAAGAAAAAAAAGCATACACACAAGAAGATGATGATAATAAAAGACGGATGACACAGTCACTTGTATCTGTTGACATAAAAAAGACACATACATACAGAGAGTGAGAAAAAGAAAGGCATTTGGACGCAGACAAAGGAGGTTACAGTGAAACACCAGCTAAAGGAACATCTAACCAAAAAACTTTTCGTACTGCAAAAGAATGAGTAAAAATTTGGAGTTAGATGGAGCGCGCTGGAAAGAATAAGAAGAATCATCAACAAAACGACCATGAAATTGAATTCAATAACGACATCGAAAACAAAACCCCGAAAACAACAAAAGCAACGTTATGACATTCAGACAAAAAAGTGACAAAACATAACACACACACGACGTTGGTGGTGGTGATGGTGGTGGTATTGTTGTTGCGTTTACAAAACGCGTACCATTCAACATATTCTCCATCATCATGTTTCAAGTATAATGTAAATTTTTATGACCGGTTAAAGACATTACACACATACTCTTCGGGCCGGGATTGAATGCCGAACAACAAATCTAATTCGGCATTGCTTGTTTTCAAATCTTGTTTCATTGTCACCCATCTCTTGCTCACGCCGAGCAAGAGAGCCAAGAGAGACAGAGAGCCGAGAGAGAGTAGAAGTAGCTCGGGAGATATATAGTTCTGTTGCATTCCAATTTTTCGGATTTCGTTATATTCTTACCAAATATATGTATCTCATCTCGTTCGCTTATATTTTCCCGACTCTTTATCCTTCTTCTCTTTTCCTCTCTTGATGAGAGATGGTGTGTCCTTAGTATTTTTGTCATTTTTCCTATGTTTGCCGCCGTTCCCACACAAAGCGTATATGTGTTTCAATGAATGCTTTCAAAGATATTATTATTATTATCATGGGTTTTGTAACTGTTCCGTTCGATGCCGTTACCGCTTCTTCTTTTTTTTATTTGCTGTTGCATACGTATTCAGTATGGTTTTTTTTCCGGCACGAAAAAAAGTATAAACTTTTTTGTCATCTTTTGTTGCTCTTTTTTTATCGGTTTGTTTTGCTTTCACGCGTGCTTGCTTTAGATCAAGCCATTAAGTTTTACGAAAACAATTTTGTTATATTACATTTTACATGCAAAGTCTAAAAGGTTTTCTCTGTTGTTGCCGGTATGTGTGCATGCTTTTTTGCATCATACAATTACTGCTACAAAGGAGACATTTGTTTTATAGCATAGTCGTGATCTTCAATCTTTTGAGATGTTAAATTTAAAAAAAGAAATACATGCCACAATGCAAACAAACGCAAAACACTTTCATGTAATACAACTTCTGGCAAAATATCCAAATGTTTTCACACGATGATCATTGCACTTCCTTTTATGAAAAGCAAAGAATAACAAAAAATACGAATTGTTATGAAAAAAACGTCTAATTTGAAAATTAACTGTGATTATCTTCAATAATTGAACGATTTTCTGTCAATTTTCATTAAATAAAATAGTTGTTGCTTGCTAGAAATTTCCATTGTAATCTGCCAAAGATCGTAATATGTAATATCCAATAAATTCCTGATTAATCAATGCTATAAATTAAATGGAAACCAAATCACGTCTTTTCATCAGCTGCTTCAGTTCTGCACGATGAAAATGGGTAAAAATGCAAAATTATTCGATTGAATTGGAAGTCTCCTTGTATGCACATGATTTGGTAATAATCCGTTTTCTCATTTTTTCTGCTGTTTTTTTGCTGGTTTCCCTTTACTCTAGTTTTCGATTTCTTTGTAGAATGTGTATACGCCTGTATGATATGTAATTAACTTATGTACGTCAGGCTGTACAATGTGACCATGTAACCGAGGATATGTATGACGTACACGTATATGTATGTATTCAGGGCATTTCATATATATTATCCTTTGGCCTTTATGAAAAATGTATTACTGTAATAACCGAGACGTTTATTTTGCTCCTA